CTGGTATGGAAGGCAGGATAACCACGGGAATGGCTGTCACATCGTGTGCAGGAAGTGGCACATAATGCTGTGCAGGCAGGGCGTCTTCACTTGTGATGGAGGCTACTGAGCCGTGACATCGGGAGGGGTTGCTGCACTGTGGCCCGTGAAGCCCAGGCCCAGAAAGTTAGGTGGGAATGGAAGGGAGAGGGCAAGGGGGGACAAGAAGAGGGCTTCTGAAGTCATCAGGGTTCTTGCAGCAGCCACCAGCCCAGAGAGCATTTCTCAGCTGGCCTTCCTGGCCTTTAGCTTGTCTCCTATGGACATTCTGTGTCTTGTCTCCTCCTGCCAGTCTCTAACTTGTGTGTTTGATCTCCTTTCCTTGCATGGCTCCCAACACCAGGGTGGAGTTCCAGAACAAGTTCTATGTTGGGGCTGGGTACAAGTTCTCTCCGTTCTCCTTCAAGGACATCCTGGAAGGGGCGACGGAAGAGTAGCTCCAGTGCACGCCTCTGCTTCAGGGTCTGTGCCAGCAGAAGGCCTTGAGTCTTGTGCCCAGTGGAAAGTGCTTAGCGAATGACTGTCCCTGGCCACCCAAGGCAAGAAGACGTGGTATTTGGTCGTAAGCCCTGGGGCTTGATAACCATGTCAGAGAGGCACTGCTTTGGCAGGTCTTCTGTACTTCATGGGGGGGTCTTAATTACCAACTAATAAAATGATTGGGAAATGAGGGGGCGTGCTAAACTGAGTCTTCTTGTAATATTCGAAGTATTATAATCAAGAAAACAAACAAATGAGCCATTCGCTTTTTTCTGTAGGGTGCCTTTATTCAAAATTGCCCCACAACATTTAATACTGATAATTATAGGCCAGCAGGGAACAATGCAGTTGCACAAATTAATCCCGGAGAGGGATCAGAGTTATTTTATCCCCTCATTTCCCTCTTCCTCACCTTTCTCTGGCTCAGCATTACGTACTTCAGAGCTTTCTCAAGAATTTTTATTGCAGGTGAGGAAGAACAGGTCAAGTTCTCTGTACACAGGGAGAGCTGCCCTGGCACAGCTCTGCTTAGTGCCCGGGATGTGAAGCAAAGTGGTGACAGCCCTACGTGGGTCACCTGTGTCTTGTGCTGAGTAACTGGAGAAGGGGCAGGTCTGGGAATGGAGCAGCAGGAAGGACTGCCACACAGCCTGGGCCGTGGCTCAGATGGACTTTCTCAGGGCACCTGGCCTGGCCAACTCCCAAGAGGTTGTTGATAAGATTCATGCCGGGCTGTTTTGTCTGAATGGCCTTAATCCAGGTGAATAATCATCTCTATAGTAAATAACATTTTTGTAGTGCTTAACAATTGAAAAACTCCTTTCACACGGTTTTTAGTTCTAAATTTTCATCATCAGTAAATGAAGTTCAAAAAGAGCTGGTCAGGGCTGGGGATTTAGCTTAGTGCTTTGGCGCATGCCTCAAGAAAGAGCACATGGACCCAAGCTCAATCCCTGGTACCCCCCCAAAAAAAACAAAACAAAAAAACAAAAACCCAAAAAAACAAGAGCTGGTCAGATCGAGTTTGCCTTTCAGGTGGGACTGTAATTTTTGCCCTCACTTGCCATATGCAGGATGGGCATCTGTGCAGGTGATGTTGCTCATCTCTAAAAGGAAGTTTCTGTGTCACCTGCTGGCCACATCCTGCCTTCGCGTAGTGGAAGGGACACATCAGGTGCCCAGCATGAATTCAATTAGGGAGGTTGCGCAGAAGAGTGATAGCTGAAGTTGGAAGATGTTTGGGTTCCAACTCTCACACTTCGTCCCTGGGCTCTTGGGCAGGAAATGGAGTCATCTGTCCTTTGTCAGCTGGGGATCATGCTCTCTACCTTGCTGGTTGTGGAGGGGAGCTGTTAGACTCTTAGGTGTCCCCAAGTGAGTCGACACCTGTCCTCAATTCTAAACAGCCATGGCTGTACAGAAGGGTAGGGGAGGGTAGCATCCCCTTGCCCCATGATGCCATCTCCTGCCATGTCTTTAAGGATGGGAAATCTGTAATGTCATAAAACATCCACGGTCAGACATGATATTAGTCATGTTCAGTTATAAAGGTACAGGTCAAGGTAGAGATTGCTGTGTAATAGCCTAGGGCTATTGGGTGAGCCAGTAGGGCAGGGTGAGCCCCTCCCTGCCCCTTGCTAGACCTGACCTTTCCGACCCCCTTCTCCCCAGAGCAGCAGCATATAATTTCCTTCAAGCGCGGGCAGCTGAGTCTGTCTCAAGAAGGGATTCATTTCCCCTTTACAAGCGCTCTGGGGAGGGCTGTCGGGCAGGGGGTGTGCCCTCGTGTCAGCCCTGCCCCAGGATGCAAGGCTGTCCCTGCCACAATCCTGTTGGAGCCCTGAGGTGAGGAAGAGTGGGACCAGGGACCAGGGACCAGGGACTCCCCAAGGCGGTCCCAAAGTCTGAGAGGCCAGCAGTGCTCCAACTTCCACCTCCGACGGGCTGTGGTGAGGTGTAGTGAAGGGCTGGAAGGGACAGCTTCCCGAGAACTAAGCACAGGTAAGAAACCTGTGCCACAGCAGAGCTGTGCCTGCTGTTCTTGCTGTGGGGGTAGGAAGGGGTTGGGGGCCCTGGGGCTTGAGATTTAGCAGGTGGCTGAAGGCAAATGCTGTGATTATTTCCTTCTTTTTATTGATACTGTAAAACCACACACACACACGCATATTCTTCCGTTTTAAAATGATCTACAAGGGCCCAATTATTTCTAGCTAAAGAAAATGTCAAACAATTATTTATAGTTTGTATTAACGAAGCTTGAGCTCCATTGGAGTTTCAGAGGAATCCCCTGCTTTTTTCCAGGCTGAACTACTCTCCCATTGTAGTTTGTAGGAGTTGTTAGGAATGTGAAGAATCTCCTCTCCTGTTATTCACTGTCTCCCTTCTTCCCTTTCTCCTTTCCTTCCTTCCTGTCTTTCAATCTTTCCTCCAAAGAATTTTGACTGATTTAGGGAATCAAAGAACAGATGAGACCTCAGCCTTCTAGGGACAGGGAGACCTTTTGGTAGAATTAGCCTAGAAAGATAGGCCCTTTTAAGAGAGAAAGGAGTTGAGCTGACACCCTGTGGCTGGGAACTTCCTCTTACAAACCTTTGGTGGTTTCCTGTTAGGTGCACCTAGCATAACAATAACCAATAAAGTAAAGATCTTTCAAAGAGAAAAGTGGAAAAAGAGAAGTGGGATGGGACCACTGTCCTATGAAAATTGACTGTTAGCTGCTCTTAACAATGCTGTCTCAGCTCTGAGCCCCCGACTCCATTGGAACAGCCACTCTTCCCAACGTGGGGCATGAGGAAGACCGATGTCACAGTGGTAGACACCAGAAACCCCTCTGGTGGCAGGGCAAGGGCCACCCTGCTCCTCGGAATGGAGTTTGAATGAGTCACGACTCATTTTTCCCTGCTCTGCACCAATGAAGCTTTTGGGAAAGTAAAGTCTGAAAGCCCTTTCTTCCTCTAAAATAGTGATGTTTGCAGAGTAAAAGAATGTGGAACGTCAGGAACATTTTTAGTGGAAAGGATCATTTTCTCCGGCCCTGCTTGATAAGATGAAGTGACGGATTGAGAGAAGGGCTAGACACTCGCTGGAGAAGTGGTGAGGTCTTCTTCCCAGGTGGGAATGTCGCAGAGGTGATGGCGGCTTCCCAACACCACTTTCACTGACCCTTGAAATACAAGTGGCCTCTTTTAGAAAACAGGTAACTTTACCCCTTTTGGGTAGTTTTTCATTTGAGCCCATTATGTTAGTGGGATATTAGCAGTAAAGACCTTGAGATACATATCGTTTTTTATGCTAGAGATGGAACCCATGACTTCATATGTCCTAGGCAAGGGCTCCGCTGCCGACCTATAGCCCCAGCTCTTTCTTCTTTTTCCTTCCTCCCTCTCTCCCTTGCTACCTGTCTTCCTCTTTTCTATCTCCATTTGGAGAGACCTGCATTTGCTACTCTGGAGTAACAAACACACCTATTCTGGGTAAGCGTTAAGTGACTATAAGAAACCACAGTCATTTCCTAAATCCCTTTATCCAGGAATGAGAATCAACACTATCATGCCCACTTACCATGTGTGGGCCCAGTGCCATATTTGACAAACATCGACTCATTTAATCATAACATACATAAGAGCAAATTTATTAGTTAAGAACTGCTCAAAACTACCAAGTATGAAGAACTACAAGTTAACAGTGGCTTAATCCAGAATAAACTTTATTTTTGCGAGAGACAGCCACAGAAAGAGACAGAGACTCAGCGGGCTTCCGCCATCTTCAGACGTTTAGTCCAACTGGGTCCCCACCGTATTGGATGGTTCTGGGAATCGGGGCGGGACTTCCCACTCAGATTGGTGTCGCACAAGCCAATCATCTCTGGAAACGCCCTCACGGCCGTGCCCAACACTCGCCGAAGCTGCCCTCCTAATATCGCAGGCCTCCCTCTCTAGGTTTGACCAGGTTGAAATCAGTGTGAAGCGTAGTACTTCCCGGGCTCAGGCTCTCTGGAGGAGGAGTCCTGTCTGCGTCGCAGAGCATCCTCCACCTAACCCCACACCGACACCACCACACCTGTCCACTTGTCTTTCTTCTCAGGAGATTGCAAGTTCCTTGGGGACAGGCACTCTTCGTTATTTTATGGTCTAATACTTAGTGGTGCTCAACAAACGTTTGTCAAAAGACCGGTTATCACTTTAGACATTCGACATTTCATCCTCTCTTGAAATCTCTCCGTATTTAAAGATATATTTAAATAAAATTTTGTACATTGGGATCGTTATTTGGATGCACGTTAGAAGACACTTTTCCATACTCATTTGTCTTTCACTTAAGGGCTTTTAAGAGATATTCTATCACAGGAATAATGCCAGCATGGTCGTTCAAGTCAATAATCCCAGTACTTGGGAGGCTGAGGCAGGAGGATGCCTGACAGTTCATGACCGTCCTGGGCTACACAGTGAATTCAAGACCAGCTGAAACGTGTAGCAAGACCCTGTCTCAAAACAAAACAAAAACAAAACGAAACATTCTACCAGTTTACTCCTATTTTTGGTCTAATCAAATCCGTGATTTCGCACATGGCTGTTGCACAGCTCGTGCTCGGTCACGCGAAGTGTCTGTCCTTCATCCCGGCAGAGCCGGGCCCCGGAGCCACATGGCGTCCAAGCCCAGGGAGCAGGTGACCGTCCTCAGCTTGCGCAAGCTGAGCCCCGCGGGCCTGGAGCCACAGAGGCAGAAAGGTAAGGGCTGGCTCACCCATCCTGCTACTCGCAGCTGGGTACACAGGAGGGCTAGGGCCCTGCGTTGCTCTCCACACAGCGGCGCCCCTGTCCCCCCTCCTCAGAGCGCAAGACCTTCACGGTGGAGGATGCGGTGGAGACCATCGGCTTCGGGCGCTTCCACATCGCCCTGTTCCTGATCATGGGCAGCACGGGCGTGAGTGCTCCTCAGGGTCCCTGCATGTCCCCAGCTGGCCTCCTTGCTGAGCGCACAGGCCACTGGCTTCTGGGGTGTGGAAGGGAGCAGGTGCTGGGTTAGTTCTCTGGCTCTGGAAATTCAGGGGAGGCACAGGAAACCCATGGTATTGTTCTGTGCAGGATTAGACTAAAGGCTCCCCAGTTTTGTTTTGCTTTTTGAGGCAGTCCTGCTATGTAGTTCAGGCTGGCCTTGATCTCCAGCAATCCTCCTGCCTCAGCTTCCTGAGTCTGGGATTGCAGGTGTTCAACGCCATGCCTGGCTCTCCAAATGTTTCTGCATCCCAGTAACCCAGGACACCTGTCGTCCTCCCGGATTCCCGACCCTTCCAGGGCACAGGTGGAGGCTTGTTATTTACGGCCACAGGTTGAGTGTGTGAGTGTGTCCCTCCCGACTGCAGCTGTTGCCAATGTGGTAGTGTGAAGAGGTGGGGCCAACAGGAGTTGACTGGGTCACGAGGGGGCGTGGGGACCCCAGGAAGGTGGTGTGGGCTCACTCATTCCCCTCTTCGGCTGTGCGTGAGCTGCACCCACTCCCTCCCGGAGGACATAGCCGTTGCCAAAAAGTGAAACCTGCCGGGGTCTTGCTGTAGGACTCGCCAACTCCAGAACTGTGAGACATAAATTTCTGTTTTCTGTTTTTGTTTTTTGAAATGGGGACAAAGCTGTCCTCCAAGCTGGTCTCTAATTCCTAGGCGCAGGTGAGTCTCTTGCCTCAGCCTCTTAAGTAGCTGGGACTGCAGGTGTGGTTTTCTGCTCCTTATAAATTGCGTGATCTTAAGTATTTTGTCAGGCAGCACAGTGGACTAAGACATTTTCCATATGCTGTTCTCCCCACTCTGGCTTTGATGACAGCTGTGAAGTTTCTAAAACTACAAAACTTTGACTTTCTCCTCTAGTAGGACTGAGAATGTGTTACAAACCCCAAACTAAGCAGAGCTGAGGGAGCATTCCTGTAATCCCAGTACTGAGGAGGCTGAGGCAGGAGGATCCCAAGTTTGAGGCCAGCCTAGGCAATTTAGTGATACCCTGTCGCAGAGCTGTACAAAGGACCAGGGGTATAGCTCAGTGGAAAAGTATTTGACCAGTGTGTGTGAGGCCCTGGGTTCAAACCCCAGAACTGAAAAAACAAACAAACTGAGATACATGGTAATAATGTTTGAGAGGGAGAGGAAACTGGGGGCAGCACATCAGTGGCTGCAGGAAGGAAGGGGGTAAAGATTTGTAACAGGAAAACCAGCAAGTAAACATAGGGGAGCTCTGAGTTCCTGTGAGAAAGAGGCCCAGGGGTGTCTGGGGAGTGCTGGACTCACAGGAGAAAAGAGAGATGGGCGGGGCGTGGTGGTGCACACACCTGTAATTCCAGCACTTGGGAGGTTGAGACAGGAGTATCGCTGTGAGTTCAAGGCCAGCCTGGGCTACATAGTGAGACTCTGTCTCAATAGATGATAAAAACCTAGCAAGCACAAGGTCCCGAGTTCAATCCCTGGAACAACAACAAAAAGGAAGTGTTTACTTGGATGTAGTCAGAAGAGCCCTCTCCTGGTCTTAGGACAGCAAGCCTGGTGGGCCCCATCATGGGTGACAGCATGGGCGTCCCCTGCACCACGTGGACTGGGACTGATGGCGGTGACAGACAGGCAGACCTAAGAAGTGCCGACAGGTTGGCACTGGGACATGACATGCTTTTCACTTCTTCAAGGTTGTCGAGGCCATGGAGATCATGTTGATCGCGGTGGTGTCTCCTGTCATCCGCTGCGAATGGCACCTGGAGAACTGGCAAGTGGCGCTGGTGACCACAGTGAGTATCTGTGTCCCGTGGCTTGTGTGAGAAGCTGAGGGGCCCAGATTCCCTTCCTGTCCCCATAGGGCTGGAGCCAAAGGAGCACTCACCCCAGGTACACCAGGCCCCGGCAGTACTGGGGTCCTCTCCTTGCCCAAGCAAGAACCCAGATGGAGGAATCCAACTGGAGAAAGCGGCCCTCACGTTGTGAGCTGGTCACATAACTACAAGCTGGGTCCCACTCTTTGAACGGTGTTGTTATTCAGTTATCTTCTCTCAAAGACCATTACAAATAAATAGCCTCATGAGCCGCGTGTTAAGTTTTGCTGCCAAGTGGAATTAAGCTGCCTGTCATTCTTTCAAAGGTCATTTTTTAATGGGCATTAGGTTCTGTGTGTGTGTGTGGAAAGTGAGGAGAGAAAGCAGTAGGAGGTGAAGTTTCTGGAGTGATGGGTCCCAGCAGCACCCTCAGTCTTCACGTGGACCCCATCCTGCTGGCCCTGCTCCCCAACATTGGACCAAAGCACATAAACCCTCCAAGAAAAAAATATTTGATGCAAATAATGTAGAACACTTGTCAAATTTCCATTTTGTACAAAAACGAATTCTGTGTAGAAGCATTTCTGACTTCATAGTCATTATGGTTCTCCTTAAATGGATCTGAAAATACTTTTTTGTTGTTGTTGTTGTTTTTTAAATGGGTTCTCACTGTATAGTCCAGGCTGCTCTTGAACTCCCTGTGTAGCCCATGCTGGCCTTGTACCCACAGTGATCCTCCTGCCTCAGCCGCCTCAGTGCTAGGATTACAGGTGTGTGCTAGGCCCTGACAGAATACTTTTATCATAGAGCTTGGCTACATCTTTTCTGTACTCTCAGGAGAAGCCCTGGGACATGAACATGATCAGAACCAGCTGAGATGGGTTTCCTGAGATTGAGGAGATCCTCCGCATGGCTGCGTGGGGCAGTAGCCATGGCAGAGAACAGGGCTGGGACCATGCTCAGAATTATTTAGAGATCAGGGGCCTGGGATTTAGCTCAGTGGTTCCGCCACCTGCCTCACAAGCACAAGGTCCTGAGTTCGATCCCTGGTACCAAATATATATATAAAATAATTATTTAGAGATCAGCTCTGCCACGGAGGTCACAGAGCTGCAAGATGGTGAGGAGAAGGGAGCAGATGTGGAATCAAAGGGAGCTGATGGCTTTCATGAGTTCACAGGGAGGTGGAGAAGGGCAGCAGGCAGAACTTTTTCCCTCCCTGAGGTGTGGAGGATTGAATCCAGGGCCTTGAGGACCAACTACAAAGTGTTTACCACTGAGCTGCACATCCGGATCCCGGGAATGGGGAAGAGGACAAATCACCTCCCCGAGGCCAGGTCTCCGGTATCACAGGAGCCCAGCTGTGCTCCTCTGGCCTCTTAGAGGCTGGGAGTGTTGCAGCCCAATTTATGCTTAATTGTAGCTGCAAGTCTGTGTTCCTTTAGCTTGATTTTCTATTAATTTTGTGGCACTGGTTCCCTTTTGTTTTTAAACTCTACTGCTTCTAGAAAAAGCACTAGAAATTAATAAAATTAACCAGAGGTCATACTTGGGCTTGTAACAAAGTGACACTGCCACTTTTCATTTTCTTCTACATAGAACATCTAATTACAGTTTAAAAAGCATTACTTGTGAATCCTCTTTTTTTAATTATTATTATTTTTTTGTTTTGTTTTGTTTTTTGCAGTGTTGGAGATTGAACCCAGGACCTTTGCTCTGAGCTACATTATAATCCTGTTTAAAAAAAAGTTTAAATTTTGTGATGGGGGTCGCACTATGTCACCCATGGGCTCTACTTTACAGTACCCTAGCCTGAGCCTCCCAGAATGCTGAGATTACAGGCCTAAACCAGCACAGCAGAGGGTCTTTTAGTGTCACTGTAATTAATTATAACTGCTTTTACCTCACTAGGTTTATAGTGTGGCTACTTAGCTCCTGAGAGTACTGGAGATCCTACTGTGACATTTGCAAGGTCATTGTATTGCATGATAGTTTTAGGTTATGTGATACAATTTCTCATATTATGCTGCATGATACAGAGTAACAGCTCACATCTCACTGGTTCTATTTATGTTGCTTCCTAATTTTTTCCCCTAATTTTGCCTGAAAGGTTTCCTTGGTTGGATTACCTCTTAGCACAGCCCAGGCTTTAGATAATGATGGGCGCGGGAGCATCCTTGTCCTGCCCTATCCATGTCCTGCCCTACCCGGTCACTCCTGGTCCTGGCTGTGAAGCCACTGACTCTGGCTTCTTCTCCTGGGCCCACTGATGGCCGCTCATGAAGCCACGAGGCCACATTTTCACCATAGCTTAGGCTTCCCAGCCCCGAGTCCAACTCCATGTTCTCTGCCTTGGCTGGAGCAGCTCTCATGGAGTAGCTAAGGGCTGTGGGTTAATTACAAGTGCTTGTTCTGGGAACGAGAGTCACTCAGTGCCCAAGAATCAGCTCCACATGGTGCTAAATCAGAAGCACAAGAATCACCTGAACGAAAGCACCGGCTGTCGATTTTCTGTCTCCACCCTCTCTCCCAAACTGGGTAGCAGAATTGCAGGTTTATAACCTTGTGGATTAACATGGGTTTTGAATCAAGGTTTCTGTCCTGTAGAGCACAGCACAGGGCAAAACTACAGCTTTCCTCATGCAAGAACACGTATAGGATTTTCTTTTTTGGTAGTTGCCTGTGACAAAATGCATCTGAGTCTCAGGAAGAAGGGTAGGAGGGGAGAGAGAGACACCTTTCCCCAAAGATTCTGGAAACAAAGCTACCCATTTGCTTTGATTATCCTGGGGTGAATGAGGGTGGAGCTGGGGAAGAAAAAGGCGTACAGCAAACTGCTGGAGGCTGAAAATACACAGCCTGAAGGCACTGACGTCTGCCTCAACTCAGACTAGAGAAATTGCTGGATTTTACCAGAGATGGGCAAGCTGTTGTGAGAACAAGAAAGGGAAAGAAGTAGGTTTGCCTTAGGGTTTATATTTATTTTGGAGAGTTTATTTGTACTGAGAATCAAACCCAGGGCTTTTGTACCAAGCTACATCTCCAGCCCTTTTTCATTTTGTAGTATTTCTAGTTGGTTCTTGCTTACTTGCTAAATTGTCCAAGTAGAATTTACCATTCTCCTGCCTCAGCCTCCCAGAGTGCTGGGATTACTGTTGTGTGCCACCACACCCCGTTTGCAGAGGGTTTTTCTTTTTTTAATAGATTTGGTTTGGGTGTTTGTGTGAACTTTGTTTACATGCACGAACGTAAAGGAAGACTGCTTCTCCTGGCCTCCCCTTGCCCTGGAATAGGGCAGAGCAGGAATGCATGGAGATGTCTGTAATTACAGTGGAATTCACAGTGATAGCCTGGGTCCAGCCAAGGGGTCAGAGTGCAGTGACTGGCTTGTGGCCCCGTTTCCTCCGCGGACAGTTTCCTAAAGGTGTGGGACCAGCTACAAGATGCAGAATCCTCTGTCTTGGAGCCCTGGATGAACTGGAGTCCCCGGATGGGCGTAAGGGATCTGCGCGTTAACTCACAAGTCCCCTGCAATAGTCACTTAAGTTAAGACCGATGAACGTAGTCAGTGAACATCGCAGATGATCCTGCTGAGAGCATTGCTTGTCTCCCCTTCCTGCAGATGGTGTTTTTCGGCTACATGGTATCCAGCGTCCTCTTTGGGCTCCTGGCTGACAGATATGGCCGCTGGAAGGTAGGCAGGACGTGGCAGGATTGGGGGCTTTCTTTGACGTGTTCTTTTGTGGCCATCTGCACCTCCTGTCCCCCTTCTCCATGGACACTCCCTAGTAATGCCCACGATGGAGGACGCCGAAGTCCCTTTCTCTGACAGCACACTCCTGAGTTCCAGGCTTGTCCTGGTCGATCATCTTGTCCCTAAGGTTTCTGTCTCCACACCTGGCCCCCTTCTGTCTTGCTGCGCCTTGGGGTGTGCGTAGTTAAAGTGGGTCAGAATGTGGGAACTGGAAGGCAGCTCACACTGGTTGAGGTTGGTATAGCTGTGCAGCTGGCTGAAGATCACCAGTCTTCTGATTCCAAACCCAGTCTGGTCTCTTGTTTAATTTCTGGTGGGGGAGGGTTCTCCAAACACAAACACAAAGGGAGAAAGCCCAAGGGAAAACATAAGCAGATTTAGTGATATATATTAATGTCTATAAAATATCATAGTCTTTTGTTTGCTTTTGTTTTTTGAGACAGGGTCTTTCTATGTAGCACAAGCTGGCCTTGAACTCACTATGTAGCCCAGGCTGCCCTCAAGCTCATGGCAATCCTCCTGCCTCAGCCTCCCAAATGCTGGGGTTCCAGGTGTGCGCCATCTCACAGAGCTAGAATATCATAGTCTTATAAATCAATGTGAAAGTAGAAGTATCTCAGAAAGGAAAAAAATCATAAAAAGGCATTTTATAGAGGAAATATAACTGATAAATCTTGAAAACATCACAAGAGTTAACAAAAGCAAAATCACATAGCAAGATATTTTTCCTTAGGAAATTAATATTAAACTTCAAGTCCAGAAGGCATTTTTCTTAAATAGTCTTCCACAGTTGACATGATGTGTTTGTGCTTTACAAATAGACATCCTCATGTACCTCCAGTATTGCAGGAGACCAGAAATATGTTGCCTCAAAACTTGCCTTTTGGAAATAAAATTATTTTTGAGCTAAATGGCAATTAAGCAGCAAGAGGAAGAAAAATTCTCCATCTCCTCCTGCTTTTCTGCCTAAGACAGGATCCAAGCTCTGCTTTGCTGAAGAAAACTCTGGACTCTTTGACTAGAGAAGGCTGCAGAGGAGCCTGCAAACTAACCCTGCTCCACTCATTTCCTTCCATGTATTAATTGCTCACCTCTGGAAGTGTAAAACTGCTTTCCTTTGACACTGCCTTCTGAACCTCTGGTTTCCCCATGGAGTGCTAAGCCCGGCCTCTGAGATGTTTCTCCCTGCGGTTTCTGGCTCTTGTCAATCAGTGTGTTTGGCTTTTGTCTCTTTTACCTGTCTTGTGTTGCAGGGTCCATTTCAGCTCAGAACCCAGAGACTGAGGACAAATATTTCTTCCCCACCAGTGTAACGTCTCCGATACAAGCGTGACAGTATGAATGTTTTGTTTTGTTTTTGGTATCGGGGTGGAACTCGAGACCTTGTGCTTGCCAGGCAGGTGGGGTGCCACTGAGCCACATCCCCAGCCCTGAATGAAGAATCTTGGAAAGATCTCCTAATCTGATTACTTGCCTTGCAGCAATCTAGCTCACCGAGGTTGGCAGAGAGAACACAAGCTTCATCTCTGTGTATTTTCATAGTGAGAAACTACATCAGCCCCTGAGTGCAACAGTAGGGTTTGTAATAGGTTGGTTTTATATTACATTCAGTACAGTACATCTTTCTTCTGGAATATTTTATAAACCATGAAAAATTTGATTTCCTTTACAAGGGAAATAGGATTAAAAATATTTTAAGAGGACCAGGGGATTTAGCTAAATAGTGCCTCACCTGCCTTACAAGCACAAGGTCCTGAGTTCAATCTCCAGTACAAAAAAAAAAAAAAGTTTTAGGAGTATTTTTTTCTGGGACGGGGAATCAAAGATTTTTTGTTTTTGTTTTTGTTATTTTTTCATCTTTGAGTTTATTGGTACATTTTAGGGATACAGTACAGTTACATTCTTTGTTGGGATCTTGTACCTCTACATGACAAGTTTTGGTTCTCATTTTTTCCCCTTGTCCCTGCCCTCCCTTCACCCCCTCCTCCCCTCCCCACCTACAAACACTTTATTTCCATCTTTTCATTATCTCACATTTTTTTTCTTTTCCCTTATTACCCTTCCCCTACCCATCCCACCTTCCCTACACCTGTAGCTCCTTTCTTCCCATTTCACAATGTCAGTAATCTTACTAGGATTTATTCACACCAGAGAAACTATTCAGTATTTACACATGCGTCACTTACTTATTTCACTTAGGAGTATATCTTCAATATGTATCCATTTTCCTATAAATGAATCTATTTTCTGGTTCTTTATGGCTGAGTAATATTCCATTTTATAGAAAAACCACATCTTCTTTATCCAGTTTCCAACTGAGGGGCAATTGGGTTGTTTCCAGGTTTTAGCTATTACAAACTGTGCAGCTATAAACATGGGTGCACATACATCACTGTGATATGATTCTTTTAGTTCTTTTGGAAAGATACCCAGCAGAGGGATGCCTGGGTCAAGTGGAACCTCCAGTCCAAGCTCTTTGAGGTATCTCCATATTGATTTCCACAGTGGTTGCACCAGTCTGCACTCCCATCAATAATGGAGGAGGGTTCCTTTCTCCTCACAACCCCGCCAACATTTGTTATTGGTTGATTTCTTGATAGCAGCCATTCTTTCTGGGGAGCGGTGGAATCTCAGTGTTGTTTTCATCTGCATCTCTCAAAGGATAAGTGATGTAGAACATTTTTTCATATGTTTTCTTCTGCTTTTATTTCTTGGAGAAATGGCTGTTCATTTCAGATGCCCATGTTTGAATCGGGTATTTATATTTGGGGGGGCTGATTGTTTTGAGTTCTTTATATATTCTAGATAATAGTCCTTTGTCTGAGGAGCAGCTGGTAAAATTTTTTTCCCACATTGTAGGTTGTCTTTTATTTCTGTTGATGGTTTCTTTTGCAGTGCAGAAGCTTTTTAATAAGATGAGATCCCAGTTGTTGATTCTTTCTGCTAGTTCCTGTGCTACTGAGGATTTGTTCATAAAGTCTTTTCCTATGCCAATGTCTTCTAGAGTTCTGCCTAACTTATCTTCCAGCAAGTATAGTGTTTCTGTTTTAATGTTTAGATCTTTAATCCACTTGGATTTTAATTTAGTGCATGGTGAAATATAGGGGTCTAGTTTTCATCTTTGGCAGGTTGAAATCCAGTTTTTCCAACACCATTTATTAAAGAGGCTATCTTTCCTCCACTGAGGATGGTCAGCTCCTTTGTCAAAGATGAGGTAGCTGAGTACATCTGCATTTGTTTTTGTGTCTTCCAATCTGTTCCACTGATCCTCAGGCCTGTTTGTTTGTCAGTACCATGCTGTTTTTCTTTCTTATTTTTTACTATGAACTTGTATTATTCTTATAATTAGAGATAAATCAAATACTTTGTTTTCTCTTTCTAATCACTCCAGCGTGGGGAAACGGGCTTTTGCTTTCAGATGCACAGATACAGTCCCTGCCACCTGTTACAGCAGACACGCGAGGACCCTGGAGAAGGGTCTGCCCTTGGAGATACAGCCTTTCAGACAGCAGGTCGTCTGGACCGAGACTTGAGAGTGGTCTCAGAAGTAGACATCTGGACAGAAAGGAAAAATCACCTGAAGAAGGCAGATTCTCTTCCCACCTCAACGAGGGCAGTGTCCCTGAACAAATTGTCTTTTGTTGCTTCAGATTTTGCTCCTGTCCTTCCTGTGGGGCGCCTACTTCTCCTTGCTGACTTCATTTGCACCCACATACATCTGGTTTGTCTTTCTGCGGACCATGGTGGGCTGTGGTGTGTCCGGCCATGCACAAGGGTAAAGCACGCTCCAGGGAATCCCAGGGACAAAAATGTGTTGGCCCTCACGGGTGTTTTCACGCACAATACTAATCAGAATCATAGGTCAACAGATAGCGGCAGACAGATCTCACTTGTGCTGATTTTTTTGAGCCTTTTTTTGAAGTGATGGCTTCATAATCTATCAGGAGCCATTTGCCTTCCATATACGGCTTGATGGTAAAGCTTACAGAGTGTTAGATTGCATGTGCGTTACATTTTCCCCCTCTTCCTTCCAAAGGCTAGTTATGTTTTAGACCAGCATGGCTTTGTTAGACCAAATACTAACAAAGTTAATATGTAGAGTATAGTTTGGCCATCAGGAATTGCTATTTGAGGTGCCACCACCCTGTGGCTTGACTGTCCAGTGAGAATTTGCAAAACAGCCTGAGACAGACCAAAAGGGACCTAGTGCTGCTTGCCTGTTCTGTGCCCGTGGATAAGTACCCTTGAGCTTCTTGTGTGCAGGTGTGAAAATGGCTTTGCTAAATGCTCTGGTTTGGGGAAGCCTCCAGGAAATTAGCAGGGCTCCTCTGCGACCACCACGCTCTCCCCAAAGCCTGCAGCAAGTTACATTTAAACTATATCAGCACCTAATTATTGCCTTAATATAGTGGCAAAAGAGTTGCTCTCCCTGGTCATGTAAATTAAGCAGCACTCTGAGCTTTGGTGCCCTAAGACAGTAGAAAATTCCTAGAATTTTTAAACATCTCAAAAAGAATGTTAGGAACTGGCCGATCGTAGCCTCGAGAAGAGCAATTAGAAAATGGATGGGATATGATTCCATTCTTATTCACAAAACTGACAATGAGCTTCATTAGAAATCTATATTTTCATGGGCATTGGGAAAATTACTTACTTTCTCTTGGATGTATTGTATTTTAATTTCCCAGGTGTGTTTTTTTAAAAAAACAAATTGGGCTGGGAAAAGTTGGCCAATCTCTCTCTTTGGCAAAAGGGATGCAGCCGCTCTTTTGTGGTAGCAGATACAGAATAAGAGGCAGTTGTTAAATTTACTTCTTATTGGTCTCTTAAGTGCACACTCACCCTAACAATTACATTTTGAATTCATTATGCTTGTGACTGGAAAGATTATGATTGTTTAAAGAAAAGTCATCTCTAGAGCCGGGCGTGGTGGTGCACGCCTGTCATCCCAGCACTCGGGAGGCTGAGTCAGGAGGATCGCTGCAAGTTCGAAACCAGCCTGGGCTACATAGTTAGTTCCAGGTCAGTCTCGACTACATAGTGAGACCCTGTCTCAAAAAAACAAAAAAACAAAACAAAACAAAAAAATAAAGTCATCTGGCTTTATAGAAACAAAATTATTTTTTTCTCCTTCTCATTTAGGCTAATTATAAAGACTGAATTTCTGCCCACAAAATATCGAGGCTACATGCTCCCCCTGTCTCAGGTAAGGTAAAACTGGAATTCTACACCATCTTCTGCATCTGTTATGAGGCACTTGGATGTTTTCTTCCTTTAGCTAGAGTTCTGCCTATTATTTGGCACCAACTGAAAAGCATTGAAAGTGCTTGGGGCTGGGGGTCCGACTGCAAGGTTTCCTGAGCCCGGGACACGTCACCCAACAGTGGCATGTGGAGCACAAGCCTGACTTCCTCCGAGACCGTGCGAGGAGCACAGTCTGCTCAGCTCACACATGGAGATCACCCTCTGTCTGCCCCGTGCCTGGCAGGCTTCCCGGTTCTGTCCCCTCGTCGGTGGTCTCAGTCCCAGGTCTCCCTGGGTCATCTAACCCACAGAGAGGTTTCAGCTCTCTGTTCACGGGTGTCCTCGGCATCTGTGGGGATTGGTTCTGTGACCCAGATGACACCAGAGTGAGGATGCTCCTGTGCTAAAGTCGCTTCTGTAAGACAGTGTTGTATTTGTTTGCTTTCGGTACGGGGGATTGAACTCTGGCCCTTGTGCTTGCGAGGCAGGCAGTAGAACCACTGAGCCAAATCCCTGGCCCCTGTGTTGTAGTTGCATGTGACCTGTACACATCCTCTTATCCACGTTAACACGTCTCTGGGAGATTACAGTACCTAATAAATGCTATTAAATAGTTGTTCTACTGCGTTATTTAGGGAATAATGACCAAAAAAGCCTGTGCGAGTTCAGCTCAGACAATTTTTTCCTGAATATTGTTGACACGTGGGTGGTTAAAACTGTGGACGCAGAGCCCGTGGATGTTGATCCATGGACTCAGAGACGCTCTGGACCCCTCCCCTCCCTTCACCCCACTCAGTCACCGACTGCCAGGCTCTGGTAACTCATCACCACGATCTGAGTGTTCATCAGCAGGACTTGTGACGCATTTTGCCTCCAAAGTGTGTGCCAAATTAAAAAACATTTTGCTAGGGGCCAGGGATTTAGCTCAGTGGTGCCGCCACCTGCCTCACAAGCGCAAGAACCTGAGTTCGATCCCTGGTACCAAAACAAAACAAAAAAAATTGCCATTTTACTTCTGCAATCCTGCCCAGTGCCAACTCTCTTTTCAGTAGGACTGCCCCAATGGCTTTATTGTATGTTCACAAAAATTAACCCTATGCCCTAGTCACCCTCCATCATGTTATTTTTTTATGGCCCTAATCATTTTCTGAAATATTTTTGGCAATAGAAATAGTCACTCCTTAATTGGTTCCCTAAAGAATTACCATTATTATTATTCTTTTGGCATAGTACTGGAATTGAACCCAGGGCCTTGCAAGCACTCTTAACAGTTTGCTTTCTATTTTTTAAATAGTCCTAGTCCTTTCTATTTTTTAGAATTTGAGACAGGGTCTTACTAAATTGTCCAGGAACTTACAGCCCTCTTGCATCAAGTAGCTGGGATTGCAGGTGTGCCCCTGGCTCAAAGAATCTTCTAGCATGTACCTTTCTCCCCACCTTCACCCAGGGAAGAATGCTCAGGCTCATGGTGACAGGTGTTCTAGTTCCTGATTAATGGAGCCTGGCTGTGGGGGGCTCCATATGACTTGCTGATATAAAATTGTCTCCAAGATAGCCCCGTGTGGTGGTGCACACCTGTAATCCTGGTACCCAGGAGGCTGAGGCAGGAGGATCACCCTGAGTCAAGACCAGCTTGAATGACAGAGTGAGATTATCTAAAAAAAAAAAAAAAAAAAAAAAAAAAAAAAAAAAAGAAAAAAGAAAAAAAAAAAGCAGCAACAAACAACCCAAAATCTCCAAGATATATTTGTATGTACAAAAAGCAGCAAAGTATGGTGTATTATATGTACTACAGTGTTGCTTATGGAGGGAAAGAACCAAAATATGTCCTTAGTAGCTTGTGTATGTCCTGAAGAGCTTTGGAAGGGTACAGAATAAACTGGTAAACTGGTTCTTCCCGAGGGGAGAAACAAGATGGCAGTAGAGTAGGACGAGAGAATACGTTCACAATCTCCTCTGGGTCTTTCATGTGAGGATCAGTGTTCATCTGCTTAAGAGAAGTCGCTGTCTGGCATTCCCGCGGTACTGGAGAATTTAAACTTCAGTGGTGGTACTGACTCTAGCTAAGCGTCGGTTTATAGAAATCAGAAGGAGCCACAGAGAAGTCTAAGTGACACTCGCTTCTTCCGAGTTGGTGGAGGCTGAGCAGGGACAGGACCTGACCCATGGCTCCTCGAGTCCCATCTCGCCTGTGCACCATGTGCTGCTGGGCTCCAGAGGGGGAAATGCGGGGCGTCGTGGCGAGGAGGCGTCTGAATCTCAGGGCTCTCCCGCAGGTTTTCTGGCTCGCCGGTTCGCTGCTCATCATCGGCCTGGCCTCCGTAGTCATCCCCAGCATCGGCTGGCGCTGGCTCATCCGCATTGCCTCCCTCCCGGGCATCATCCTCATCCTGGCCTTCAAGGTGGGAAGCGCCGGCTCCTTCCGGGCTCTCCTGCAGCGGGCCCCCTTGCCCACTCCCCCACTAGCATCTTCCCCACGTCTGTCTCTCCTTCCTTGGGAAGTTCGCTACATCAGCGTCGATCCTGGAAGTTTGGCCCCGTGGTGCCGACTTTCCTCTGCCCACTAGCACTCACCCTCTGGAAGCTCCACGTACTCGGGTGACTGCAGGCCTCATGGCTTGTTTTCTGCCCCACTGTCTTAGGAGCTGCCCAACTGCAGGGTCACCATCTCCCTAGTTTCTAGCGGAGGTCTGCTCCTTGTTCAGAGACAGCATTGGCAGCTCGGCAGACCCGGGCTCTGGTTCCTTTAGGTCACCTGTGCCGCAGAATGGAAGCGTGTCAGCACTCACTAGGGTTACTAGTGGTCACTTCGTACTCACCCCAACCCAGGCAGCCAAGGTTGCAGGTCTCGGGCAGAACACACCCAGCTTCGAGCATGTGTCTGCCTTGCAGATTTCTGGTGCACCCATCTCCTGTTAGCACACCTCTTGTTGTTACAAAAGACTTTCAACTTTTACTGCTGGTCCTGTACTTCTTTTTGGGAAATCAGAGCCCTTCCTTCTCAGCATGGCAACCCTGTAACATGCTGAACGGGTGCACTCCCACCTGCTCCCTCCTCTTATTTAAGCGCAGTTGTCACCTTCGAGTCTGCTGTGACAGCTGGCCTGGCACCTGTCCCTCTGCTTCTGGGAAGCCTTGTAGGTCAGTGACTTCTCGGAGCGGCCCTGCTGCTCAGGGCACACACAGGCCCTCCATGTTAGAGCCCCCTGCTTCTCCTGAGTGGACCGTGTACTTGTAGCAGCAGAGGAGGACACCACTTTCTTGGTGAGCAGCATCCCGCAGGTGCGTGCTCTGGGACTCATGACCGACTACACCCCCAAGACCTCTCTATGGGAGTTGTTTCCAAACCTAGAACCTGAGCTGTAATTGATGTATTTCCTTACACCGAAATTGAAGCATTTACATTTCATCATTCGGTTTTAGTGCCTTCTGTCCTTTTCTGGAGATCTCCCTTTTTAGGACAGATTGCCGTAGCAGCTTTGAATTCAACAAAATTCTGCTACCCCGCACATCTTTAAGCCTCTCTGCTTCATCGCCCGTGTTGGGGAGGTCAGGCTGTGATGGATGGAGGAAGGGCAGCGTGGCCCCTGGGCTCACAGGTGCTGTTCTTTGTCACCTGTGTCCAGTTTATTCCTGAGTCGGCGCGGTTCAACGTCTCCACTGGGAACGTCCGGGCCGCCCTGACCACCCTGCAGCGTATTGCCAAGATAAACCGCTCCGCCCTGCCGGAGGGGCAGCTGGTGGAGCCCGTGATGGTGAGTGAGGACCAGGCGCCCCCGGGGCAGGGTGGGCCCATCCCTTCCTGAGGACGCCCAGAGGCAGGGGTGGCTGAAGAGGGCAGAGCGGTGCTCAGCTAATTCTACAATGTGGTGCTGCTGTGACCCTGGAAGTTACCTAACAACATGGTCCTCATCAACGAAGTAATACCTGAGAGCCCCGGAGATGGGATAATAGCTCTGTTTTCTTAAACTAGCCTTGTGTTTTGATATCAAGGGTATAAATGGCATGGCATGGATTTTTCCCATCGCTGGCATAGTTCATTACACATCTGCCATCAGTCACCAGAGTTCTTTTCATGGCGTGGAAATGAAATTCTGTGCTCATTAAACAATGAATTTCCCACCTCCCTGACCCTGTGGGTGCCACATTCTGTTTTTGTTTGTATGAAATTGCATTTTCCAAGTGCCTCCTGCAAGGGGATATAGCAGCTGTCATTTATGTCGGGTTTATTGTGCTTAGCAAACGTCCTCGCGGCTCGTCCGTGTCATAGCACGTGTCCTCCTGCCTGTGTGACACTGGGGAGGGAAGGCAGGACCTCACCCTCGGTGGGTGCTCTGCCGTGAGCTACAGAGGATGCCGCCAGTCCATTTGGAATGTGGGGCTCCTGTCTTCGAGATAATGACTTTGTTGATGTTTCACCAGTACTTAAAGGAGGGAGGGGAAGGGGAAATAAAGGGGATCGAGCTTTGGCACTACTTTCTTACAATGCATGAATTTATTATTTATCGCAAAAATATATTAATAAAAAGGGGAAAAAACTAATGAAGTCAACAAATATTTCAAAAATTAAAAAGCAGACATATTAGGACCAGAAGGGTGGCTCAGTGACAGAGCGCTTGTCTGACATGTGTGAAGCCTTGGGTTTGATCTTTGCCAAAGAAAAATGATGTCATGCATGGTGGCTCGTACCTGTAATCCCAGAACTTGGGAGGCTGAGGTAGGAGGATTGCCATGAGTTGAAGGCCAGCCTGAATTACAGGGTGAAACCCTGTCACAGAAAGAAAGAAAGAAAGGGAAAGAAAGAAAGAAAGAGAGAGAGAGAAAGGAAAGGAAAGTTCTCCTTGAATATTTGATAGTTATATTAAATTTTGCCTTTTAAACTATAGTTTTTCAATAAGTGGATGACTTGATTTCCCCTGATAGGCTTGTCAGTTTGCTGTGTATATTTCTTTTGAGGCTATCTTGTTTTAGTGTGATTTCCTTGTTTTGTTCATGAATTATTATTACTTGGAACACTTATCCTTAGATAGTTTGGGGCCTTAAACTCCACTTCCGCTTATTAATAGATTGAATGTAGTTTTGGTTTATATTTTGCTTGTGAGTTTTTCCAGCCAGTCTGTTTTCAGCCTTTCCTTACTGATTTGCTTTTGATGTCGTTCTTGTAGATCTGTAATTGATTTTTCTATATATTTTTATTTTTGGCTCAGTCTGATGCTTCATGTTTTTAATAAAGGAGATTATTTGTTTATATCTATTGGGCTTAGCAGTATATTCAGACTTCTGTCATCTTACTTCCCTATATTTTTTCTCTTTTCCTATCTTCTGTCAGACTGATTGACTTCTCTCCCCTTCTATTTCCTTGTATTGGCTTGGGGTTTCTGCACTGTGTGGTCCAAAGTGTTGAAAATGCAGATTTATATAATCTAATGCTATTTGGCAACTCTGTTTGCCCTCTGGATAATATAAGGACCTTAAATATGATCTTGCAAAGCTGGGTGTGGTGACACACACCTGTAATCCCAGCAGTTGGGAGGCTGAGACAGGAGGATCGCTGTGAGTTCAAGACCAGCCTGGGCTACATAGTGAGTTACAGGTCAGTCTCTACATAGTGAGACCCTGTCTCTCAAAAAAAAAAAAAAAAAAATTGCAAAATATCATCTTCCAAGTAATTTTTGTCTAGTGTTATTGTTTACTTTGTTTATAAGTTTTCGTAAAGTATTCCTTACTTTAAACTAGCATGTTTCTGTTTATTAACATTTTTTAGCAAAGTATTTTTATTTTTGACTTTTAAAGTCAGTTTTAATTTTTACTGTTTTCTCTCCTTTTTGTTGTGTTAATTTGTTTTTCCTTAATATTTTAACTGTTGGTGGGCCAGGGATTTAGCTCAGTGGTGCTGTGACTGCTTCGAAAGTGCAAGATCCTGAGTTTGATCCCCAGTACCCCCCAAGCTGGCTCAATCTGAGTTTTGAGGTATAAAAATGTACAAATTTAGTTTTGTCATTTCCAAATGGCTAGTCCATTATGCTGATTTCCTTCTTTCTGGGGGACTGGGGGCAACACTGGCCATCGAACCAAGGGTCTTTGCACTGAGCTACATCCCCAGCCTTTTAAAATTTTGAAACAAGGGCCGGGGATGTAGCTCAGCGGTTTGGTGGCCTGCCTTGCAAGCGCAAGGACCTGAGTTCAATCCCCGGTACAAAAAAAAAAAAAAAAAAAAAGTTTAAAATTTTGAAACAAGGTTTTGCAAAGTTGTTCAGTTGCCCATTTGGGCTTGAACCTGTGATCCTCCTGCTTCAGTGCTGTACAGTACATCTATTGAATAATCCAGTCTTTATATATTTGAATCTTATTTGGATAATCTGCTCTATTCTAAGCATAGCTGTATACACTCAAACATACATAGGAACTTGTTACCCAATAAAGACAAAATTTCAGACAGTTGGAAAAGCACACCTAGGCCTATTTTCCAGTATGTCACCACTTTAATAATAGTGTTTTATATTATATTTCTGGCAGGGTCAGTCTCCCTGGTCAACCCTTCTCAGAGCTTTGCAAGCTATTTTTTCTCAGGCCGACTTTTCTGGAGCAATCCTGGAGTTACTTTAGCAGTTCCGTCCCCCTTCCTGCCACGTGTTCTATGACAGTTTGGGATTTTGTGAGCACTGCAGGCTAATAGAAAATCCGTCTTTTAGTAATCGCCTGCATCCTGCCTGCCTACGTGTCCCTTTTCATGCTTCCCAGCAGCAGTTTTCTGCCCGTAGTGCTAGGGATTGAACCAGGGCCTTGCACACACTAGGCAGTCTTGCCACGGGGGTGCCCTGCCAGGTCTTGCTGAGCTGCACCACTTGATGTCCAGTGTCCGTTCGTCCCGCCTCAGCCTCCAGGCAGCTGGGATTTCAGCTGTGTGCTGCTGCGCTGGGCTCTCATCATTTCCTACCTACTTACTTTTTATTCTTTTATTTCTCATTAGTGCATGTTTGTGTTACCAAAGGGAAGGTGGGCTGTGTGTTGGTCAGGTCTTCGTTTTCAGTCCCGTCACCACCTCTCCCGATTTCCTTCCTCCTCTCCAAAAGTCTCCCTTCTGGTTTCCTTCCCCTCACCTTTTATTTTACTTTGTTTTTATTTGTTTTCTCATATAAGAGAAAACATCAGTATTAAATTTTCTGAGTCCGGCAAATTTCATGGATGGTTTCTAGTTCCATTCATTTTTCTGCCAATGGCATGATCTCTTCTTCCTGGCAGAGTAATCGACCGCTGTGTATATAGCCCACGTTTTCCTTGTCTGTTCATCTTGTGCCAGGCCTCTGGGTTGTTTCCACAGCTTGGACATTGTAAATCGTGCTGCTGTAAGTATCAGTATGCAGGAACCATGATAACATGCCACCCTTAATCCTCTGGGAATGTGCCTCAGAGTGGTAAAGCTGGATCCAGTGATGTTTCTGTTCAGGTTTTTGAAGAATCTTCACATTGAATTCTACAGTGGCTATGCTAATTTGCATTTCCACCAGCAGTAGCAGTGTAGAAAGGTTCCTTTTCATCCTGCATTCTTACCAGAATTCAGTGTTTTAGATATTCTTTTTTTCCCCTCCTTTGGTTTTTGAGACAAGGTCTTGCTTGCTATGTAGTCCAGACTGGCTTTGAACTCATGGTGATCTCCTGCTTCAGCCTCCTGGGTGCTGGGATTACAAGTGTGTGCCATCACACCCGGGATTTATATATTCTTGATGAGAGCCACTCTGACTGGAGTGAGAGGACAGCTCTAGTTTTGATCTGCACTTTTCTGAGCATTTTTCTACATACTTTTGGCCAGTTGAACAACTTCTTTTGAGAAGTAGCTACTCCGTTCATTTGCCCACTTTTTTATTGAATTCTTTGTTTTGGGGGTGTGGGGGCCTTGGCCAGACTGCACCAATTGTGAAGACAAAGTCAAGGCCTCCGCAGGAGGCACCAGGAGAAGGCTCCAGAGCTGCAAGTCTTTATTCCTTCGGCAAAACAGCAGAACAGCTACATAGCAAACACAACTACTAAAAGGTGACAGTGTTCATTAGTTCACAGGAGTTATAGCACCTTATCTGCTTACCAGGATGGGAGAGACCAAACTCCTGCTGCATGACCTTGGCCATACTGCGCATGCATGGTGTAGTGCATGTTAAGTCATTCTGATATAACTATGGCCTGTTATGGGCATCCTCTGGGAGTGGAGTTGTGTCCTCAGATGCCCTTAGACACCTCCACAAGGGTTTATTATTATTATTTTTTTAGTTCTTTATAGATTGTAGATATTAGCCCTCTATCAGAAGCATAGCTAGCAAGTTGGGCATGGTGGCACATGGCTATAATCCCAGGACTCAGGAGGCTGAGGCAGGAGGATCTCTGCAAGGCCAGCCTGGGCTACACAGTGAGTTCAAGGCCTGAGCTACAAAACCAGCCTCTGTCACAAAACAGAAAAACAAAATGTCAGATGGGTGTAAGTATTCAGGGTGTGTTCTGGTGTCTTCAGGTCTATTACATTGGTCTGCATTTCTGTCTTTGTGCCTGTTCCATGTTGTTTTTGTCACTCGGGCTTTATTGTATAGTATGAGGTGTGGTTTGTGATCTCTCCAGTATTCCTTTTTTTAGTCATGATTATTTTATCTGTTCTGGGTCTTTTTGATTCCGTATGAAATTCAGGATTTTTTTCTAATTCTGAGAATAATGTTGATATTTTACTAGAGGTTGCATTGAATCTGTAGATCATTTTTGGTAATTGGCCTTTTTCACAATTTTAACTCTTCTGACCTCTGAACAAGGGGGTGATTTGGAAGGAGTTAATATTTTTTTCAGTTCTTTTCATTTTCTAACATCTACATTTTCTTTTTTCAGTGTTTCATAATTTTCACTGTAGAGTTCTTTCACTTCCTCGATTAGTTTGATCCCTGGTTATTTCATTTTTTAAAAAAAGCTGTTGTACATTTTAAAAAATTCTTTTGTAAATGGATTTTTACAAATTTCCTTTTTTAAAAAAATTCGTTTGATTTGTTTTTTTTTTTTTTTTTTTTTTTTCTT